CCAGGACTGCATTTTACCATGTCGGTTCAGGAATCGGGTTGCCAACATGACATGGGAGCGTGAAATACCAAAATCAGGGATTGTAAGTTATGACCAGGGTAACATCAGAACCTCTGAGAGCTTCAGATCCAGAGCGTCTCTGTTTGAGGATCAGATCTCCAGAGGAAACGGCGACCTGCTGCTGAGAGGAGTGAAGGTTGATGATGAGGGAACATATGAGTGTCATGTTTTTACAACTGGCATCTATTATAGACGTTCTGTTGTCCTTGAGATAGAAGGTAGGACATCTTCATTTGAAAACCTTTCATTCAAAGAAGATTTGGATAGTTTGTATTTTGTTGTTGTGGGATGTTTCTGATGTGAAATTGTTCATTTTTTATTCTCTTATTTTCAGCTCCAGTCTCTTCAATCAGAATCTATCAGGAAGGAAACAGAATCACCTGCAGCTCAGAGGGAATCTACCCTCAACCTGAACTCACCTGGTCCATCATGACTCTGCAGAACAGAACCACAGTCCATCAGACTGAGGAGAAGCTTTATGACATCAGCAGCTCTCTGACGGGTCCAGATGAAGATGTAGATCTGTTTTACTCCTGCGACATCAGAACCAGGAAGAGCCAGAGGATAGCAGTTCTAATTGATCCAGGTCAGCAGATGTACAGAAAGTTCTGATATCATTTAATAAGCTGGTTTTTTAGTTTCTTCCTTACATTTGATTTGACTTTTTCTTGAAACCTCATGAAACATCCAGAGGTTTCATGAGGTTTGATTCACATTCAGAGGGATTTTATTTTAATGCCTTTCTAAACCCCATTTTACCATCAGCAGGACAAAATGAGAGGAAGCCTAATTTAAAATGCATCCACCTGTAAATGAAAAGTATTTGTTCCAACATTATAACTGATGGTAAACAGTGAAACGTATTGTGAGGAAAAACACTTTGACATTCTGGACAATGATCTGGTCACTTTAAGGCTGACTTTGTGGAAACGTTTGTCAAGAATAATGGAAAAGATCAAAGCAGGTTTATAAGTTTTATTCCTATGAAGATGCAGAAATAAAGAAAGAAAATGCTACATGCTAGCTGTGCTATTATTATTATTATTATTATTATTATTATTATTATTATTATTATTATTATTATTATTATTATTATTATTATTATTATTATTTATTATTATTATCCACACAGTTAAACTAGGAATAAAATGGAAACAATCTCCAGGTTGAGCATCAGAAACCAGATGCTTAAAGTTTATAATTATTAACATTTATTCATAAAAATGTTGGCAACTGATGGGGAACCAGCGGAGCCACCAGGGGGCGCTTCCAGCCTCAAACAAATAAACGCTACAGAAACGAATCAGTAAAGCAACAGGCAGCACAAATTAAAATGATTTAAATAAATGAAAACGGAAAACATATTAGTAAAATATAAAGTCAATCAAAAGTTGCTTCACTGCAGGCAAATGAAGCTCTAGATTAATAAATATTCTGATTATAGATCAGTTATAGATATTAGGAATGAATTGAATGAACAAAACTCAGGTTCAGGATTTACATTTAGTTCAGAGTTTAAACTGTTAAGCAATAATTTGTTTCTTCATTGATTTGCAGAAAAAGATATAAAAGTTTGAATCTCATCACTAAAGATAAATAATCAAAATACCAGCAAACAAAATTCTGCTCAAAGGTTCTGCATCAGAGCGATTCCTCCCTGTTTCCTATCAGAACCAGAACTTTTGGTTCACTGAACATCATCTGGATCATGGAGACTATTTGCTGAGATCTTGTTTCCAGGCAGGTTTTCTATGATCCTTCAGAGGGATCTGGGTTTCCTCCTCAACACCTTTACACTCAACTTTCTTCTGCTTTTATTTATTTATTGCAGGGATTGGAACCAGAATGTCCTGTGTTATCAACCAGGACTGTATTTTACCATGTCGGTTTGAGAACGGGACCACCAAGATGGAATGGTCTCTAGATGAAACATCATCTCTGATTGTCTCCTATGACCATCATGGCTCCAGTTACTCTGAGAGCTTCAGATCCAGAGCGTCTCTGTTTGAGGATCAGATCTCCAGAGGAAACGGCGACCTGCTGCTGAGAGGAGTGAAGGTTGATGATGAGGGAACATATGTGTGCACTGCAGTGATTAATGGTGTCTATCATAAACATTTTGTTTTCCTTGCAGTAGAAGGTAGGTCACTTTATTTAAAATAAAAACTTTATAGAAATAAGATTATAAAAGTTACATTTATATTTTGTTCTTCTGACAAATTGTTCATTTATTTCATGTTTCTGCTGCAGCTCCAGGTTCTGACATCAGAATCCATCAGGATGGAAACAGAACCACCTGCAGCTCAGAGGGGATCTACCCTCAACCTGAACTCACCTGGTCCACTGAGCCTCCATCCAACACGGCTCTGCAGAACAGAACCACAGTCCATGAGACTGAGGAGAAGCTTTATGACATCAGCAGCTCTCTGATTGATCCAGACGGTTTCTGATTGGATCTACAGCTGCACCATCAGAACCAGGAGCAACCAGAGGAGAGCAACTTTAGCTGAACCAGGTCAGCAGATGAAGAGAAAGTTCAGATATTTAAAATCTTTGCTGTTTTTGTTTCTTTTTACATTTAATTTGACTTTTACTTGAATCTTCATAATGAAAAATGCAAATAACTAATTTTCTCTAAAAAGCTTCTTTATGCCATGATAGTTTCCATAGAGTGAAGCTTTACATCAAGTGCATCACAAACTGAATGTCTGCAAAATGCAGCTGATTGATTTATTTTATTAAATCACTTTTTAAACACATTAAAAACATTTCAATATAATTTAAAGACAGAATCAAACCTTATTAATAAAATGCAGCTGATTTATATCATAATTGTATTAATATTTCCAGTCTTTTTGCTTTGCAGAAACTTTTATTTCTGAGTTTCCTGCAGAATATTTGATGTTAAAGAATTATTCTTTCTTTGTTCATTAGCTGATTTATTTCATCAACATTTACAAATTCTTATTAAAATACAACATCTAACAGGCCGAGTATATTTAGAAGCTTAACTCTAAATATCGTCTTTTATTCCATATATTGATATATTTCAAATCTTCCTTCTCATCCTTGTGTTTAGTCTTATTGATCACTGCAGCAGTGACTAAATATCAATCAGGAAATTGATCGTGTTGCATCAACCTTCCAGACGTCTCAGGTTCTGGTTCTGGTTCTGGTTCTGGTTCTGCATCCGAACCAGGAAAAGCAGCATTCAGCTTCTATGCTCCACAAATCTGGAAGAAACTTCCAGAAAAGTGTAAAAGAGCCAAAAACACGGAGTTCCTTTAAATCAACCAGTCAAAGTTTATTTGTATAGCAGCTTCAGCAACAAGGCTTTTCAAAGTGCTTCACATCATAAAGACCCAAAAGAAACACAATGAGAAACATCTTCAGTCGTTACACATCAGATTGTTCATTAATATTTAAAGCAATAACTGGAACATTGATCAGTATATTTCAATATCATTGATGATTGTGATGCCTTCTGACTAAATGTTATTGCTTATTTCATCACTGGTTACTGTTTCATAATGTGAAGCAGTTTGAACTGCTTGTTGCTGAAACTGAACTCATAAACTTTGCTTTCTCAGGTGCTGAGGTTCCAATCAGCTGCACTTCCTTCAACATTTCTGCGTCCAGTTTGGTCTGGAGGTTCAACCAGCGTCAGATCATCCTGACCAAGACTGACAGAAACATCTACAACATCTCAGAGGAGTGGAGGAAACATGTGAGGGATGTTTCAGCGTCCGGCAGCCTCACCTTACAGAATGTGACCTCAGATCAGGAGGGAGTTTACAGCTGTGAGCTCAGTGATGATGAGGAGACGATGATAACTCAGCTCTATCTGAGGAGGACTGGAGGTAACAGGACTCAGGATTTCAGCTTCATTAGATGCTCACAATCTGACATTGTAAACTATAAATGAGTCTTTAAGCTAAACTCCTGAACTTCTTTGGTTCCAGAGAATCTGGTGGTTCCTGAACTCATCAGACGGACGGTGGTTTGTGTTGTGATTGCAGCAGCAGCAGCTGGATTCATAATGTTCTACAAGAAGAAGATGGAGGAAAGTGAAGCTCTGCAGCTTTAAAGCTTTCATTCACATTCAGAGAGTGGTTTTGTTTTAATGCCATTCTCCCATTTTACCCTCAAGATGATTGATGAGCTGTGATGGTTCCACTAAATGATCAGCTTCATGTTCTTGAGATGATTCTCATATTTGGAGATATTTCTGTTTTTATTTTTAGGATGATTTCATCTTCTGCCCAGCAGGGGGCGCAGCTAAACATATTCTTTATATTCTTCCAGCTAAACTTTCTCAGATCTTTATCAATAAAATGTTTATTTCTATAGAAAATTAGTTTTTTATTACATCTATTGATGATTTATGAGCTTTTATGATTTACAAGCTTTATGTAGTTTTACATTATTAGTTCTCTATATTTAGTTTTTCCTCACATTTGTACATATTTCTGTTTAATCTAAATGTGAAGATTTTACTCTGGTTGCATCTTCTGCCCAGCAGGGGGCGCAGCTAAACATGTTCTTTATATTCTACCAGTTTCTCAGAAATTAACCAATAAAATGTTTATTTCTATAGAAAATGAATTTTATTACATAAATAGATGATTTGTGAGCTTTGATGTAGTTTAGCAAAATGATTATTTCTTCGTGTTCTTTTGTTGTTTCTCATATTTGTTAATTTATGTTCATGTCTTTTAATTATTTGTCACATTTGCATATATTTCAGATTTTTTCCTAAGATTTTACTGTGTGTGTAACATCTGCCCAGCAGGGGGCGCAGCTAAACATATCATTTATATCCTTCCAGCTAAACTTTCTCAGATCTTTATTAATGCATGATGTTCATTTCTGTTGAAAGATTTCTACATAATCATTTGTTATTGTATAAATACTTTGTTTTTTAAATAAAGAAACATTCATTTTAAATGCCTCCTTTATTTTTCCAACAGCGTAACATTGATCACCAAAATACATGAGGATGATTTGTGTTTCTGTTTAGAATGAAGTGATAAAACTTGTTACATTGGGGAATATTTTGCTACAGATATTTACATGTCAGGAGGATTCATCAGATGAATAAATGAGGTTAAAGGCAACAGCAAAAACAGAAGATAAACATTTTTATTCAAGTCATGTAGCAACAACAGATTAGATCAGAAACATTAAACTGCAGAAAACACAACATCATGACTTAAAGTGCTGCAAACATTCAGGTTATACATGTAAACATTAAAACACTAATGGCCTCATCAGTCAGTTTGTCTTCATTAGATTTTACATTAAGGGATTATTTATCTTCACTGAGCTGCAGTAAACTCAGCTGTTGGGATTTAATGGTTTCACTTTAATCCACTGAAAATAAGATGGTGACATTTATTTTGATCAGTTTCCTTCATCACTGCATTTTAAGGGAGTCATAATGTTGCAATTATTGGCTTCATCCTTACATATTAGACTCTATTCAACTGTACATTTATGTACAAACATATTTAAAGTTAAATAAAATAAATATTTGCAGTCATTGGGAGTGAAATGTTGAAATTAGTTTTGAAATGTTTCCAGTTCAATCACACTTTAACCTCCAAAAACCCCAAAAATGATTTAATGGAACAAAGTTAAAATATGTGGACAAGATGTTTAACTAAAGAAGAATAAATAAAATGTAAGAAGGAAAAATTCAGTCAGTGATTTTTGTCTTTTGGGATTTTATACTGAATGATGCACCAGCTGAACATCTTTTATATCTATGAAAGATTGACTGGTGACAAATACTATTTAATTGACCGTATATTTAAACAAATTACACAAATGTCATTTGTTTGTTGTTGAGACGCAGTAAAACAATAAAATGGTTAAACATATTTTAAAATAAAAGATGTTTTTATCTTTGGAGAGACTAAATATTTAAGATGATGTCCTAATTTTTCACATGAATGTATTTATAGGTAAAGATTATTTTTAATAAAACAGATTCTAATTATAAATCTGTTTCTCTATCAGACTGATGAGGCCAACAGTGACTGTCTGAAATAAAATAAACATAAATAAAAATAACCAAATCAAGCTGATAGTTTGGCCTTTATGAGAAAAATCCTTCTGGTTTTGAATTACAGCAGCGCTGAAATGTGTTTGGAGGAAACCATCAGTACAATAATCACTCATTATTTGTTGCTGACTGAGTTTTACTTTTTCTTCTTTTCCAGTAGAAACACAACAGAAACATCACTATCACAAAAATGATTCCAATCACCAACCAAATTATCCAGGATGATTTATCTGAAAGGAAAAAACTCATGAGAATGAAACTCTGCCTGGATATATTTTAGTTTCCTCATATTTGTGTATTTTTGATGTTCCTCTTACCGTCTCTCTTCACAGTGATCTGGGTTACCGTGGGGTCATGTCCGTCGCTGGTCTCACAGCTGTACTTTCCCTCCAGATCGGGATCGAGTCCCTGCAGACTGAGGTCTCCAAGCTCTGAAACGTCCCTCACATGTTTCCTCCACCTCTGACACGGACCGGTTCCTTCCCGTCTGATTCAGAACCATCTGATGGTCGAATCTCCAAACTACAGACTGAACCGTTCAGGCCCAAGCAGGGAAGCGTCGTTTCATCTGTCGTCACCGTAACTGATGCTGAAAACCACAGATGGGAATTAACTGCTTTTATTCAGTAAGACTCATTTCTTGGCTGAGTTGAACTTGTTCTTGAGTAAAAACATGTTGAAGTTTCTGCTCCCAGCTCAGGGTTTGTTTCCACTGTTCAGCTCTGATGATGAAAAAGGAAACAGAAAAATGATCCCAGATTCTGTGACTCAAACTTCTGGCTTCTCCAGTGAAAAGAAAGAAAAAACCAACATGAAGCAGAGGAAAGTCTCAGTGGAACCAAATACTCACATAGTTTCCTGAACGTTGCTCTCCTCTGGTTGCTCCTGGTTCTGATGGTGCAGCTGTAGATCCGATCAGAACCGTCTGGACCCGTCAGAGAGCTGCTGATGTCATAAAGCTTCTCCTCAGTCTGATGGACTGTGGTTCTGTTCTGCAGAGCCGTGTTGGATGGAGGCTCAGTGGACCAGGTGAGTTCAGGTTGAGGGTAGATCCCCTCTGAGCTGCAGGTGGTTCTGTTTCCTTCCTGATGGATTCTGATGTCAGAACCTGAAGCTGTGGAAAGATAATCGGAGAAGTTCAGCACATGAACAAACCTCCAAGGTTTCTATTTTATTTATTGATCCGTTGCTCTTACCGTCCACACTCAGTCTTATTATTGAATCTTGATGTCCTTTAATGGTGCTGATGAAGCAGTTGTATCTTCCCTGATCCTGAACTTTGACCTCTCTCAGCAGCAGGGAAGCGTTTCCTCTGGAGATATGATCCTGAAACAGAGACGTTCTGCCTCTGAAGTTCTGGTTCTGGAGGTCTAGCTGGTCCTGGTTGCTATAATAAGAGTGAACTGTGAGCTCTGAGGATTGCAGCTGAGTCCAGTGGATGACGGGTTCACTGTCGCTCTGGAAGCTGCAGGGGAAGACGCAGCTCTGCTTGACGACACAGGAAACCTCTGCATCTGTCAGTAGACCTGCACAGAAACAGATCCAGGGTCAGAGCAGAGAAATTAATCCATGCAAGTTGGTGTAATGATCAGCATGAGTTGAACAACAATGCGGTGGACATTTAATTAACTGTAATTAAATATTATACTTTCCTGCGGTTCAAAAACGGTCGTAGTTTTATTTCTGTGCTCACATGTTGCTGTTCAACCAGCCGGTTTGATGCTCTGTCCTCACAGTAACGTGTTCAAACCCATCCTCCCCCATTTTGTTTCCAAGCTCATTTGAAGGCAAAATGTCCCAAATTTCAGCTCCATGACTTTTTATGATGTGTTAAACTAAATGTGACGTGTGCTTAACTGCAGTGGAGGCTTTTATTTTCACACATTTAGCAGAAATGAACAGCTGAATATCAAAAGCCTCAGAAACTCCTACACAGAACAAAGTTATATTCAGGAATGTTCATTATTCATCATTTATTGTTATTTATTATTGTTTCATCAGATCTGTTGTGACAGATTCCCTCTATAAACCATTTACTAGTTTGTAGAGGAAGTGTTAATGCACCTTTAATTATCCTCATTACAAGTGGAAAGCTGAGCTTATGAAAGCGATTCATGATTTCCTGGGTGAAACCTTTGGCTGCCTACAAACATATCAGCTCATGCACTGAACGGTTGTACCAGATCTGATGATCTGCTACAACTGAACTGTTCACAGAAAACTAATGAACTTTGACTTTAAACAGAAGAAAAGACAATTTGGAGAAAAATAATGGCTGCATGCAGATAGCAGTTTAGCTTTGGACCAAATCAGATGGTCTTATTAATGTTGGTCTCATTAACCGGTTCAGAGCGACGCAGAGCTGCTGCTGTAAAATGGCAGGAACTGGCGGTAGAAATCAACATCTCATTTTATTAAAGCCTAATAACACAAAGGTGCTAATATATTAAAAAAGAAGAAAACACAGAGAAAAGCTACAAAAAACTCACCTATTTTCCAGAAACTCATGAAAACCAGGAGAGTTAGAGACTGCATTATTTTTATCATCTTCATTTTACCGGACTGAGCAGCAACACGTGGAACTGAACCGACGGTTTCAAGTGAACAAAGAAGAAAAGAAAAGAAAAAGTTCCTGCAGATCCTGAAATATTTCTTCAGAGCAGATCAAATCTACAAGCCTGAACACGACTCACAGCATCAAGTTCAAACCTGAAGGAAAACCTGTAGAGAGTCTGAAGTTTTATTTTCCTGGATCTGTCAGGAGTTTCTTTGTTTGTTTATTCTTACATAATTGTTTAAAACTGTCACTATGTTGTGACAGAATGAGACCAGATATCAATTATTTTAGGGCAACCAGACGAGAAGCAACATTTACATTTCAGGTTCATCCAAACAAAACTGAAGGATCTGTTTGGGGTGCAGAGCTACATGCAGTAGATGTGTTTGTTAGAAGCTGAGGGAACAGACAGGGAACCGTTTGGACCTTTCAGGCTCCGTCCTGCTCCGCATGTTCACACTTCATCTCCCCAGAAATAAGACATTTTTCCCTCAGACATGGATTTAGACTCAGCAATAATAAATCCACACAAACATCTGCTCAGTGAAACACAAGGAGAATATTTACACATTATAATGTCATCATTTTATTTCAAAACAACTTCTTTTATTTGTGCAAATTAAATTCATAAACTGATTGAAGAAAAGTAAAATATTTGACATAAATGTTGACAATTACTACTGCACAATGTCTACATCTAGAAAGTTGTTGAGTAAAACAAATAATTTTAGTTTCTTTGCATAAAATAAAGGAACATGAAATAAAAAGTATTTGGTTCATAAAGAAATCATCAAACTGTTGTCTGACAGAGACAAAACTGAGATTAATGTTTCATTTTATTCTCTTAAACATAAAATAATCTTTCTATCTCTGATCAATATTAGCATGATTCCAGATTTATAGCTGATCTGCAAGGATTAATTATAAAAAAGTTTCTAAATATGCAACTAAAAATAATTCCTCTAAAGTAATTAGCGAGTTTAATAAGAACAAATAAAGCACTTTAACATATAATAATGGATTCTTTATGTTCTGGATCGTTGTTGGGTTTTCTGTGGATTTGTCATTTCCGCTTCCTTTAGGCTCCGCCCCCTCGCAGCTGCAGCTCATCTTTAGGCTCCGCCCCCTCGCAGCTGCAGCTCATCTTTAGGCTCCGCCCCCTCTCAGCTGCAGCTCATCTTTAGGCTCCGCCCCCTCGCAGCTGCAGCTCATCTTTAGGCTCCGCCCCCTCTCAGCTGCAGCTCATCTTTAGGCTCCGCCCCCTCGCAGCTGCAGCTCATCTTTAGGCTCCGCCCCCTCGCAGCTGCAGCTCATCTTTAGGCTCCGCCCCCTCTCAGCTGCAGCTCATCTTTAGGCTCCGCCCCCTCACAGCTGCAGCTCATCTGAAATGGCTGCAGTTTTTCTATGTAGACTCTCTGGGTGCTGTGAGGTCAGGCTCATCTTTATGTTATCAATTTCTCCTTTCATTTCTTTCTTCATGTTCTCTATTTCTCTAGAAATCCATCAGAGACAGTTTAGTTTTAGAAAAAAGTTATTATTCCAAAATCAAATAAAACTACAATCTTTTTTCTCATCTTACTTTCTTAATTTAAGTGATAATAAAACATTCAGTTTAAGCATCTAAAGAAAATGTTGAATCTGCTGTTTGAGTTTTTGAGGCTTTACTTACTTTCTCTCTTCTCTAAAATCTCCAAACGATTCTGATTCTCCTTTTTCTGAGTCCTTCTCCTTCTTCTCTTTGTCCTTTTCCTCTTCCTTCTTTTTGTCTTTCTTCTTGTTGCACCTGCAACAATGACACAAGGACAGGAAATTAATGCATGAATTGTTTCTTATAGAAAACAATATGAAGAAGCATCAACAGAAGTGAATAGTTTTACTTTTTCTTCAGAAAAGCGACCGCCGCTGCTCCTGCTGGTGCAAGCAGACCGAGAATCACCTTCCAGGTTAAACCTGCTGATTCTGCAGAGGAAGAGGAGAAGCACTGAGTGTCTGCATCATTTATAACTCACTTTAATTCATAAAGAACAAAAAAAGCTTCCAGCAGTTTGAACTTCACAGCCGTTCTGCAGCAGCTCAGAGAAATGATGTTAGTTTCACTGATCAGGACGAAACGTGATTAATGAATCTGAAATAAAACTTTTATCTTTTGGGTTGTTTCTTGATCTGCAGTAATAGAAGATAAAACTGCTTTTTTAACTAGTTGCTACATAGATAAATAGTTTCTATTTAGTTATTTTCCACGGTTTCATCACCTTCTTTTTTCAGAGTTTCCATCCTGTTGTTGCTCCTGGTTCTGATGGTGCAGCTGTAGATCCAATCAGAACCGTCTGGACCCGTCAGAGAGCTGCTGATGTCATAAAGCTTCTCCTCAGTCTGATGGACTGTGGTTCTGTTCTGCAGAGCCGTGTTGGATGGAGGCTCAGTGGACCAGGTGAGTTCAGGTTGAGGGTAGATCCCCTCTGAGCTGCAGGTGGTTCTGGTTCCATCCTGATGGATTCTGATGTCAGAAACTGGAGCTGCAAATAGAAGAAAATGCATCAAAAACAGAAAAACTCCAGAGAAAAGCAGCTGGAAAACATGAAATGTATTTAATAAAGTATTTCTACCGTCTATTTCCAGGTTTATAAATGTTCCAGTGTTTCCTGCGCTGGTGCTGGTGTTGCATTCATATCTCCCTCATCCTGAATCTTCACCTCCTTCAGCAGCAGCGAAGCGTTTCCTCTGGAGATCCCGGGAACAGCGACGTCCGGCCCTTAAAGTTCTGGTTCTGCTGACCCAGCTGGTCCTGGCCGTCATAGTAGGAGTGAAGCACAGAGTCTCCAGCTGATGACGCGGTGGACCAGTGGATCACCAGATCAGAGTCGAACAGGAAGTGACAGGGCAGCAGGCAGCTCTGTCTGAACACACAGGAAACGTCCAGATCTGCAACAGGAAACAGAAACTTTAGGTCAGAAACTTTTTCAACTTCATTACATTAGTAAGTTAAACTTTCATCAAATCATTGAACAAAAATGAACACTGCGGAGCCACAGAGTCCTTCAATCAGTGGTTGCTTTAACTAGGCCACTCCTCTAAAGAAAAAAATCCTGAAGTTCAACGTTTTAATATCAACTTGAGGCAAAGAACAAATAAATCAGAGTAAACAGCGAGCGCATCAGAACAGCTTTAAACCTTTTCTCTCCATCGGGCTGAAGGAATCAGATTAAAGCTCAGCTAACAAAACCAACAAAACAACTTCATCTTCTAAAATATTCATTTGACAATTATAAATAAATAACAGTAATTTAGTTCAAAATTTATGCAGAGTTTCCAGGCAGAGACGTTTTAAACTCTGGGTTGTTTCCTCAGTCAGTGTTTAAGTTTCCTGCTGTTTGCTAATAAAAACACAACAAACCGTCTTCATGTTGAACAGGAAGCTGAACATTTCGACTCACCTGCTGCAGAAACACAGAGCAGAGAAACCAGAACCAGGAGGAGAGACGTCTCCGCCATGTCGTCGTTCAGCCGTTCACTGATCAGGAGTTCCTCAGAGGAGCT